CTGCTGCTGCTGCTGCTGCCGGGTCAGCTCAGCAGCTGCAGCCACGGGCTGAATCGGAATTTGCTGCTGCAGCTTTTCTAGACTTTGCGAATGGACCTGAAGCAGCGGCTGCGAGTGTCTCTTGACTCTGCGCCTCTGCGCAGCGAACTCTGGGCCGTGTGTCCTTTGCTGCTGCTGCTGCTGCTGCTGCTGCTGCTGCTGCTGCTGCTGCGCACTGGGCTTGGAGGCAGCCCCTTCAGAGCTGCCGGGGAACTCGAAATGGACAGAGCCTAGAGCTGCTGCTGCTGCTGCTGAGGCCGACTTGGGGCGGCTAGTTTCTTTTGGAAACGGCGGGGCATCTGTGCAGCTTTTTCGCTGCTGCTGCTGCTGCTGCTGCTGCTGCTGCTGCTGCTGCTGCTGCGCTGCAGCAGCAGCGGCGGGCCGCGGCGGCGAGTCTTCAGGGAATCGGTTCTTGTTCGGGGGAGCAGGCGCGGCTGCCTCTGAAGCAGCAGCAACTGCTGCTTCTGCTGCTGCTGCTGCTGCTGCTGCTGGGGCGCTGCTGCTGCTGGGGCTTTCTTGCTGCAGCAACTCCACGAGAGGCAGCAGCCCCTGTTCCGGGGGCGGGCAGAAGAGCAGCGGCTCGCGCTGCTGCTGCGAGTGTCGCCTAGCAGCAGCAGCAGCAGCAGCTTCGAGCTTGTCTTGTCTTCCAGGAGAAATGGACAAGCTGCTGGCTTCGCTGCTTCTGTAGCTGCTGCTGGCTGCTGCGTCTTCGGCGCCGCTGCTGCTGCTGCGGCTGCTGCTGCTTTCCGCGGCCGCGGCAGACGGCCGCCGCCCCTGCCGCCCCCGCTGCTGCTGCTGCTGCTGCTGCTGCTGCTGCTGCTGCTGCTGCTGCTTGCGGCTGGCAGCAGAAGACTGGCGACGCTTGGCTGGCTCTCTGTTGCAGATCAAGTCGAGCATGGACATGTCTGGGTTGTCGTCGTTGAGGAGCCAAATGACGGAGAAGAAGCGCTCGGCCACATAGAACATCTTCAGCAGCAGCAGCAGCAGCAGCAGCAGCAGCAGCAGCAGCAGCAGCAGCAGCAGCAGCGGGCGCGCGCCGCGGGCCAGGAAGACAGCGCCCGCGGCGCTCAGGTGTACGTACAGCCCCAGCCTCTCGCCAAGGGCCGCCCGCTGCTGCGCGCTGCTGCAACTCCAGCAGCTTCGGGGGAGTGCATGGTGAAGCCGGGGGCGAAGCAGCAGCAGCAGGTGGCTACTGAGCAGCAGCAAACGGGAGGCGCTGCAGCAATTAAAATTCCATTTAATCAAAACATTAAAAAAACGAAGCAGCTGCAGCAAACAAAAAGCTGCGCGCGGCCGCAGTGGGCGCCACAACCCCTCCCCGATTCAGAACGGGTTGCTGCTGCGGCGCTGCAGCTGCAGCAGCAGCTGCTAGACAGGGCCGATCCTCCTGCAAATGCCCCTTTCCGGAGAAGCTTCTTCGCAGCAAAAGGCATAAAAAGTCATTTAAAACTTACTGGCGAGGAAATTATTTCTCGTTTCCGCCGCCTTAGGGGAAGATCGGGGGTGGCGGCGCCGGTGGCTGCCCATTGAGAGCAGCGGGGTTGTGCGTGTGTGAGTGGTCTGCCGCGCGCCGCAGCGGACAAAGTCCGCAAATTGTAATGCAATTCGACGCTAATATTGCATTTAGTTGCGAAGACTTGTTGAAGAAACTTCTTTTGAAATCAAAAGTGAACGAACAGCTTCTGTCTTCAGCGCGGCACGGCCTTCGCTGGGGTGTCACTGCAGCGCCGCCACCGCCGAAACCGCCCGCAAAGCTCCCTCTAAACCCCCAAATCTCGCGGAATTTTCGACTTATTTCCAATTATTTGAAGGAAATTCCTTTTTTAATTCAAGTTAAGACGCGCCGGAGCTCCGGGAGGCAAGTTTGCAAATGCGGCGACTGCAGCGGCGGCTGCGCAGAGCCGCAGCTGCAAATCCGGGGCCAGCGCCGGAACAGCGCCAGCAGCAGCAAAAGAAAAAGAAATTAAAAGTTTAAAATTCAAAAACTCTTCCAGGCAGCCCCTCGGCGCGTCTTCCGAAGTCCTTTGTGCAGCAGCAGCAGCAGCAGCAGCAAACGGCAAGCGCCAGCTGCTGCTGCCTGCCCTGCTGCTGCTCTGCTGCTTTGCACAACTTGAACAAAACTGAAAAGCCAATTCGAGTTGCAATTCAAGTTGCTGAGGTGTCTAGACAGCCGAAACCATTTGCAGGATATGAGCTGCTACAAAACAACGGCCGCAGCCGACGGAAAACGGGTCTTGCTGCCATTTCCTGCTGCTGCTGCTGCTGCTGCTGCTGCTGCTGCTGCTTCGGCAGCAGCAAACGACCCGCTCTGCTGCTGTGGGGCTGCATGCAGGGCTGCATGCATGCAGCAGGTAGACGGGGCTTTGCAGATGCCCTTTTATCAAGAAGCAAAAAGTCAATTGTACCCTGGGGGCCCCCCTGCAGCACCAAATAGGGGGGCCCCCCTTCAGCCCCTAAGACTTGCTACTCTGCTGCCTCAGCGCGGCCAGCTAGCTGTGGCTAGCTGTGGCTAGCTGCAGCTAGCTGTGGCTAGCTGCGCTGCTTCGTAGCCGCGAGAAAGCCCCACTCTTTGCATGCGCTGCAGCAGCAGCGCAGCGCAGCAGCAGCAGCGCAGCGCAGCAGCAGCAGCGCAGCGCAGCAGCAGCAGCGCAGCGCAGCAGCTGCTGAGCATGCATGCACAAAGCTGCTGCAGCGCGAGGGGCCCCTGTGGGGCCTCGGCGGGGCCCCAGGGGGTCTTGGGGGGCCCCCAGGGGGCCCCTGTTGATTTCTTCGTTAAAAAACAAGCCCCTTGAAGCAGCCCCGCATGCAGCAGCAGCAAGCTGCTGCTGCTCGCTGCTGCTTGCTGCTGCTTGCTGCTGCTTGCTGCTGCTTGCTGCTGCTTGCTGCCGCCTGCTGCTGCTGGCGGCTCCCCTCATGCAGCGGCTAGCTGGGCCCCTGCTGCTGCTCTGCGTCAGCCCGCAGCTAGCTGTAGCTAGCCACAGCTAGCTAGCCCAGCTAGCTGTAGCTAGCCGCAGCTAGCTAGCCCAGCTAGCTGTAGCTAGCCGCAGCTAGCTAGCAGCTAGCTGCAGCAGCAACACCTTCGGATGGCCAGTAGCTAGCTGCTGTCTTTGTTTCTGTAGAGTAGCGGCAACCTGTAAGTCAAGCCCCAGCGCTGCAGCTGCTGCTGCTGCTGCTGCTGCAGCTGCTGCTGCTTCTCGCGGGCCTCGAGCACTGCAGCAGCTGCTGCGTCTGCAGCTGCTGCTGCTACTGCTGCAGCAGAAGTTGGCTGCAGCTCCACCCAAGAGCCCTCCAGCTGCCACAGCGGGTGAGCAGCAGGGGCCCCCCCCAGCTGCAGCGGCAAAGACACAAACAGAGAAATCTGTGGGGCCCCCAGGGCAAAACACCCCACACTCTGCATGCGCTGCAGCAGCAGCGCAGCGCAACAGCAGCTCCGCATGCATGCACAAAGCTGCTGCAGCGAGAGGGGCCCCTCTGGGGCCTCCGCGGGGCCCCACAGAGGCACTTCTGGGTCCCCACAGGGGCCTCTGTGGGGGCCCACGCATGCATGCATGCATGCATGCATGCATGCATGCGTTTGCATGCATGCATATATATATTCATACATAATATATGCAACAAATAAAGACACTTATAAATGAACCTTAATTACATAAATGCACTTGTGAAAAGAGGTACAGCGCAGCAGCAGCAGCAGCAGCGCAGCAGCAGCAGCGCAGCAGCAGCAGCGCAGCAGCAGCAGCAGCAGCAGCAGCAAAGCGTACCCTTTTGGGCCTGCGAGTGCGGGCTTTGCTGCTGCTGGGAGTCTCTGAAAAGCCACTTTTTGCTGCTGCTGGGGGCCCCTCATAAAAGACAAACTCTGCAGGAAATTGCTTCGGGGGGGGCCCCTCAGAAAGGGCCTCCACGAGCAGCCAGGGGCCCCCCAGCAGCTCAGCAGCAAAAAAGGAGCGAGCAGCAGCAGCAGACAAACACCTGCAGCAAACACAAACCCTAAACCCTAAACCCTAAACCCTAGACCCCGCACCCTACACCTCAAACCCTAAACCCTAAGTCGTAAAGCATAAACCCTAAACCCTACACCTCAAGTCCCGTTAAGAACAGCAGCAGAGACTAGGAAAAAGGAACAGCAGCAGCAGCAGCAGCAGCAGCAGCAGCAGCAGCAGCAACGGGGCAGCAGAAGGTGCAAAAGAAACAGCAGCAAAAAGCAAAATGCGTCAAAAAGAGCAGCAAAAGACACAAGGGAATAAAGGGAAGCAAAGAAGCAAAAAAGAAACAAAAAAGAAACAAAAAAGAAATAAAAAAGAATTAAAAAAGAATAAAAAAGAATTAAAAAGAATTAAAAATATAAAACAAACCTCAAGCTGCTCAGCAGCTCTTTAACAGCATCAAATTTATATCTCCAACGCCAAATCTCTTCTGCTGCTGCTGCTCGCAGCGGCCCCAGCCATTCTGCTGCGCTGCGGACAACCAGCGGCACCTTGCTGCTGCTGCTGCTGCTGCTGCTGCTGCCGCTGCTGCTGCTGCTGCTGCTGCTGCTGCATGTGGGTGCTGCGGCTGTTTCTCCGTCGGCCCCCTGGAGACGCAGCAGCAGCAGCTGGCGGTGTCTCTCGAGAGCAGCATCCGACAGCAGCTCCTGGGGAGACACGAGGGGGGCCCCCGCAGCAGCAGCAGCAGCAGCAGCAGCAGCAGCAGCAGCAGCAGGACCTGCTGCTGCTGCTGGCTGCTGCGGCTGCGCAGCCAGCCCCTCCTCCCACTCCTTTCTAAGTGCCCTTCGCAGGTACCAGGGCAGCAGGCCCCGGGGGGCCCCGGGGCCCCCCCTAAAGCAAAGAGAAAACGCTCTAAAGCATCTCCTGCTGGCCAGCTGCTGCTGCTGCCATCAGCAGCACGAATGAAAATTGCCAAAGTGAGGAAAAAGCCCCCCTGCAGCAGAAGTGCATGCGCACAGCAGCTTGCATGCATGCAGT